CACAGATGAGGGCCTGCTGGCACCCCACAGAATGAGATATTGTGGGAAAAGCCACAAGGGTGTGAAGGTGAAGAGAATGCTCAAGAATTTGAGTTTTGAGGAAATCAGAAAACTTACAGGAAGTAGAAGGGACAAAATAACTATTATACATATTGAAATGCTAAACAGAGAGTCTTGAAGGCATGTGTCGTTCTACAGTCAATGTGGTGCCACTAAGATTCAATGTTTTTTAGACTTCTGATTATGGAAACTTATAAACATACACAGAAAATAGTATAATGATCCTCTATAGACATCACCACTGTGGCTCCAGTCGTGTCTAAGTGGTTTCGTAGCAAAAGAATCATCAATGTTTGCCAGTCTTTTTTTCCTGAAATACTTTTGGGCAAATCCCATACATCAGATCTTTTTTCCCATAAATATTCCAGTAGGCAGTTCGAACACATAAGGGCTTTAACAAATAACTGTAAAACCATTTTCATGCCAAAAAAGTAACAATCTTAATAAGACAACCATTCCATGATCACATTTCTCCTATCAAATTTCCATACTATGTTCTTATTCCTAGTTTGACTCAAGCTGAATCCCACACTGCATTTGGTTGCTTTGTTTCTAAGGCCTCTTGTAATGAATGGCAGCGGTGTGTCAGACGCTGCCCTCTTTCCCATGCTGTTTTGTTCTGTAGAATTCCCCGGTGTGTCTTAGGCTCCCGGCACCCTTACCACCATGCTCTGTTAGAACCTTATTTCTTGGGTTCCCTAGGTGGCTCAGCGGTTCAGTGCCTGCTTGACCCAGGGCATGATCCTGGAGTCCTGGGATCGAGTCCCATGTCAGGCTCCCTGCATGGAGCCTGCTTCTCCCTCTGCCTGTATCTCTGCCTTTCTCTCTCTCTCTCTCTCTCTCTCTCTCTCTCGTCTATCATGAATAAATAAATAAAATGTTTGAAAAAAAAAGAACCTTATTTCTTATGAACTAGGAGAGAGGGAGTTGGTCCCTGTGGCATTCTGAGGTACAGGATGCCACAGCTGCATTTGAAGTCAATCTGATAACATACAATAATGAGGTGTGGGCATGATGGTGGCCTGTCTGTAACGAAGGACCCTGAGCTCCAGGCCCAGGCTGCAGGGTAAGGAGTGGTCACCAGGAAGTTCTGGCAAAGGTAACCCTTCCTCCCAATTCTCAGGGGCTCACTGCACGTCAGGCTCCATGCCGGTGGCTTCTGGCATCAACACACTGGATAATATTCCTCGAATTTTACAGAACCACAGACAACATGTGATTTATGTACATGGTTAGTGCAAAACATGGAAAGAACTGGAACCCAAAGCCTCTGTTCTCTGCTGCTGTGCCAAATGCCAAATGGCTAAGATTAAACCCCCGAGACTGCTCTGGTAAATGGGGGGAAGGCTGCTTCTTCCAACACAGGCAGATCCCTGGGGCCCGTCCAAGACTGACTAGACCAGAGTTCCTGGGCATCTGACCCGGGAACGTGCATTGACAGGCACCTTGGGACTTTTTGACACAATTAGAGAAACACTGGAGTAAGGAACGGGAGCAGCTGTAGCAGAGAGGAACGGAGAGTCCCGCATTTGAGCTGCAGGATAAGGAATTTAAGGGAGGAGGAAGAAAAGGACTTCTCACAAGTGCCTCCTGTGTGGTTGGAATTGGCACGTGCTAGGGCGGCCTTGGGTGGCTCAGCGGTTTAGCGCCGCCTTCGGCCCAAGACATGATCCTGGAGACCCTGGATCGAGTCCCACGCTGGGCTCCCTGCATGGAGCCTGCTTCTCCCTCTGCCTGTGTCTCTGCCTCTCTCTATCTCTGTGTCTCTCATGAATAAATAAATAAAATCTTAAAAAAAAAAAAAGAATTGGCACGTGCTGCTGAGTAAACCACTGGAGAGGAACGTGGCTCTCAGGAGCTGACAGGTGCCTCTGGCCAGAGCTCCCCAGCCGAACCGCCCCCAAGGAGGCCACAGTTGGGGGCTCCCACCCACAAAACACTGCTTATGCAAAGGGCTCTTGACTTCGTGGGGAACCTGAACCCTTCCATCACACCCAGGAACCTTCTATGGAAGCTGAAGGCATGGCCACCAGGGCTCCAGCCTTCCCAGCCCCAGGAAGCTGACTCATCCCAAGTGTGTGTGGGAGAGATGCAGAAATCCCACCACGCAGGATCCAAGGAACCCTGGGCCACGCATGCGTGAACGAGACTAAAGAACATGGGGACAGGTAGCTGCGGGAGCAGGGTGCTGTTTCATCGGTGGTGATAAGAAGTCACGACCAGCATGGAAGGCAGACAAGAACCCAGGAGCCAAGGACACCTCCTTTGGAATATGGTCTAGGTGAAGGATGTCCAGTGGGCATTTTGAGAGATACACATTGAGACAGGATTGAACAGAACTGGATTCAAATGACACAGTCATGAATCAGATGCCTTTAAATAACTCTTTTTATTCATTAATATCTACCTGTTGGTAACTGTAAGTCTTTATTTTGAGGGTTTCCTTTTTTAAGAGAATGAAAATTGAAACATCAATGACATTTTGTGTTTTAGAGAGAACACAGGACTGGGGAAGGGCAGAGCAGAGGGGATGAGAGAATCTCAAGCAGACTCCCTGCTGAGCATGGAGCCCTACCTGGGGCTGGATCCCATGACCCCAAGACCATGACCCGACTGGAAATCAAGAGTTTGACACCTAACCAACTAAGCCACCCAGATGCCCCTAAAATGTTTTTAAAAGACGATTGTAAAAAAAAAAAAAAAAAAAAAAAAAAAAAGACGATTGCTTCAAACCAAACTACCATGGCACATGATCCTGGTGATGGGAAGGGGCCCCTGGTGGGTTGATAAAGTTATTTCCCGATCATGATATCATATATCTGATCGTCACACCTTTCTGTATTACATTATATTTCAATACAAATTTTCCCTGAAGAGGCTGTCTCTTTGATTGGCAGAGATGGAGAAATGTATCATAATTTGGGATGTGTAATATCCCACGTATCCAGGAACCATAAAGTCTTCTGGAAACCATTCTTGTTTTGCAAGTAAATGTGATCATGTTTATCTGCTTGGTTATCACCGTGGTTAGAAGGTGTAAGCCGAGCTTCTGCACACTCTTCTGGCAATGTCTTCTCACCACAGCCCGCCACCCCCACCCCATGAAAGGTGCTGCTGGTCCCAGGGGGCCCAGGATGGTGGCTGGAGGTGGCACATGAATGAGCTCCCTGGGCAAAGGAATTGGAGCCTGATCTCAGGAAAGGTTCTTCCCATCTATGGCAATTATTTAAAAATTATTTTCTGTAGGATCCTTAATTTGACCAATTCTACATCAGTGTTCTTTTTTTTTTTTAAATCAAGGTTTGGATTTTTTTTTAATATAGCCTCATAAAACATTAGGATTCAATATTCAGTTTGTTTTCAAATGCCCCAACTGTCTAAGCTGATTAAAGCAGACCTTTTTTTCCCTTTGGAATCTTTGAATTAGGAGAAAATAAAATCACTGCTCTGCATTTTCAGCTGAAGTGGGGAAGGGATGGGTGAGGGGAGGAAATGTAGGTCTGCATCCATAAGACAGAAAAAAGAAAGTGTCCAGGGAGGTGGCCACTGTCTTGCCACAAGAACTCGGTGCTGATCAGCCCCTAGTGAAGAGATGAGGAGCACTAAGTTAGAAGCACATCCCTCCGGAGATCTGGAGCAGGCAGGGGGCGGGGGTGATGCCCACAAGATAAATGAGAACACAATTAACATCTTTAATGCATGTTCTAAACCAACCCAAACAGAGTCCTGGCTTTTTATTTGCACCGGTTTCCTTCCTGCTGATGCATGTCTCGCCCCCGGGTTATAATCAAGGACACTCACCGCGGTTTGCTACTGTGCCTTTTCTGCTCGCCCAGACCGCTCAGTTTCCCCCAGGGTTGGTGAGCACACCCCACCCCCCCATCGATGGTGAGGTGCGTGACCCGGCCTTTCAGCTCTCTCTGGCACAAGTCCTGGTGATTCTGTGACACCCTCCACCCGTTGCCCTCCCTCGGCCACCATCTGCGTACTGTCGCTCAGAACTAAGGTGCCGCTTTGTCACCGTGCGCAGGGGGCTACACCGACTGCGTCCCTCGGAGAGCGAATCCCGGCCCGGGGCGGGGGCGGGGGGGGGTTGCAGAGCGCTGACCAGCCGAAGCACAGAAGCAACCTCGCTGGGCGCAGAGCAGATCCTAGGCGGGAAGGGCCCCTAAAGGTAATGGGCCTCATGGCCACTTGGTAAACGCAGGTGAGCAGCTAAGGTCAGTTGGGACAACTCTGGCTTAATTCTCTCCCCCACCCCCCACTGCCTGCCAATGCGTCGTCTGCGTTTCTGCTCCTGGCACTGGCGGGAGGCGGGCACTTCTGCCGCTCACTGGGTCTCCCTTTAGTATCTTTTTTAGAAGATTTTATTCATTCATTCATTCATTCATTCATTAACTCATTCATTCATGAGAGACACAGAGAGAGGCAGAGACACAGGCAGAGGGAGAAGCAGGCTCCCTGTGGGGGGCCCCATGCGGGACTGGATCCCAGGACCCGGGCGTCACACCCTGAGCTCGAGGCAGATGCTCAACCGCTGAGCCACCAGGGCCCGGTGAGTATCTCTAAGCTGCCCAGGTTACCCGGAGGGGAGGGGGCACACAGGGACCCATTTGTCCCGCGAACACTAGGAGTTCCCCAAGTTCCTGGTTTCTATCGGGGCAGTTTGGGGGCGAAGTCTTCCTGACCTGCAGGTCTGAACCCAGACTGGGGAGCCTTTCAAAACCGCACAAAACGCAGCACCGCCAAAAGCACCCCGAGGCGCAGCGCGGGTATTAGGGAAATTCCAAAGGCCGCGGTGGACGCGCAGGCGGGGGCGGGGGCGGGGCAGCACCCCCAGCCGGGGCCCGGGGCCCGGAGCCCGTCGCGCCCCCCTTCCCCGGCCCGGCCGCCCTCCGCGGCCTCGGAGCCGAGGGGCGGCGCCCCGGGCAGGTCCCGCCCCGGCCGGGAGGAGGGACGCACCACCCGCCGGCCCGCGCCCCCGTCTCGGTCCCCGCGCCCAGTCCCGGTCCCCGCGCCCAGTCCTCCCGCGGCGGCTGCGGGTGCGCGCTGTCCCTCCGGCCCCCGCCGCAGCCATGGCCGCCTCCTCCGCGCGGCCCGCCGTCCTGGCCCTGACCGCGCTGGCGCTGCTCCTGCTGCTGTGCCTGGGCCCGGGTAAGCGGGGCGGCGGCGGGGCGCGGGAGGGAGATCCGACACCGGCCACGGCGGAGGGACCCGGGCGAGCCTGGGCCAGTGCCCGGGGGACAGGGTGTTGGGTGTGGCCCGCGCACAGGTGGGGGTGGCGCGCTTGCCCCGCACTCGGAGGACCAGGGGCAGGGGCAGGCTCCGGCACGCGTGGTCACCTTGGGAAAGAGTGAGGGTCACGGTGGGAAGCGGGGGGCGGCAAGAAGTGTTTGGGACCGAACCTAAGGGGCGGGGGCGGGGGTAACGCGAGCGGCGGCGGGGGGCGCGCCAGCCCTGGGGGGAGCCCCGAGCGCCGCGTTGCGGAGGCTCTTGCAGGCCCGGCGCTCCCCAACCGACTCAAGTTCCAGGTCCGCCGCGCCGTTCCCAGGCCTCCCCTCCCGCCCGGGGAAGTGCTCCTAAAGGAGAAGCGCTTCACCTTCTGTGCTTCCTGGAGTCCTCAGAGAATCGGTTGAAAATTCCAGGTTCCTTCCCTATAAAATGAGCGTATTCGTACAGATCCCCCCAAATGAAGCAGTTTGGTGCAGGCGTCTGAACCCGGAGTCCACAGACCCCGCCTTAGGGTTCTGGCCTGCCAACGCTGCCTTCCACTTGTAGGGTCACCGTTCACAACTCCGAGGGGCCTAGGGTGATCCCGGGTCTCCTGCTAAGGGGACTTACTGGAAGGCACCGAATACTCGCCCAACGCGTGAGACTGGTGCTCTGCCCCTGCAGAGTAGGGGGCTAATGACTGGGAGACACCCTTCATAGCTTGGCTTCTGTGCTTGCTTATTCAAAACAGGTGTGGAAAAGAAAACTCCAGGTGGAAGAGAGGGAGGAAGCCCACCTCTAGGAGTCCTGAGGCCAAAGCTCCAGGTCGCCCCAATAGCAGGGGACCTGTTCCACTGGAGAGAATTGCTCTCCTTCTAAATTACAACCACAGGGGAGGCTAATCAATTATGTGATTGACCCACCTCTCCTACTTCGTTCCCCCCATTTTCAGAAGCACATCCTTTTTTTTTTCTTTTAAGATTTTATTTATTTATTCATGAGAGACACAGAGAGAAAGGCAGAGACAGGCGGAGGGAGAAGCAGGCTCCATGCAGTGAGGCCGATGTGGGACTCCATCCTGGGACTCCGGGGTCACGCCCTGAGCGAAGGCAGACGCTCAACCGCTGAGCCAGCCAGATGTCTCAGAAGCACATCCTTATATTTTTTATTTTATTTATTTTTAAATTTTATTTATTTATGATAGTCATCACAGAGAGAGAGAGAGAGGCAGAGACATAGGCAGAGGGAGAAGCAGGCTCCATGCACAAGGATCGCGGGTCTCCAGGATCGGGCCCTGGGCCAAATCAGGCACCAAACCTCTGCGCCACCCAGGGATCCCCGAAGCACATCCTTATAAAGCGAGTGAGCACCTGCCAAAGCCATTCCTTTTCAGACTTGTGTCTTACTTCACTCATATGAAAAACAGAGCGAACAGTGTCAGGTAAAGTAGTATCATCATTGAGCTGGAGTGTGAAAGTTCTTATGACATAAAATGAAAATCCTTATACACCGAGTCCCACAGGTGGCTCTTTATGACCTCCAAAAACATTTCATGGGGAAAATGATCATTGCTCCTTCTTGAGCAGTTTATTAATAGTTAGCACCTTCAAAGGGATATCTTGCAATTCTGCATCTGCTGGGAGATCTAATGTCAGGTTAGATAAATTCAAGAGTGCCTGTTATCAGCATCTAGAAGTAGTGACTGATGATGTTGGGACCAAAAAATCCATACTGTAGGAAAAAATTCACAGCTCTTCATTTTTTCATTTTTTTCCCTCAAACTAATGTGGTATCTGATTATATGTATTAATATTTATACTTCAGTGGGTAGTAATTGGCACAGTGGCCACATTAATAATTCACAATTTAGGATTTTCCCGAGCCTTTCCTTTGTACAGCTGAGATTTGGTGAGGCTTTCATTTCTGGAACTGCAGTGACACATTTGCTGTGAGAAACTGCAACGACTTCATCAATGCCTGAATCCAGCGTCTATTTCAACATCAGGCCACATTTCATTCACTTAATGTTAAGTGCTTTTACAGAAGGCAAACAGATGGGTGGACGATACTTAATTCTGTGTGTGCCACGCTGTTGTTAAAAGATGGACAAATGTTAAGATATTAATGAACGCTAATATTAGTGGCAAGGAATGGATCTGTCTGCTTTGGCAAGTGTATTCACAGATTTCTTTATTGACTCTTAAGGTTTGATGGGAAGTACAGCCTTTAAGAGTAGTCTCCCTCCAGTCTAATAAAATAATCCTCTCTACAGGAGCCCCGTCAAGGGCTCATCTCTGCTTATGTACGCTTGATGGGGAACATCTTTGGGGTGACTCACCCCATCTTTGGGGTGGCTGCCTAGGTGTTGGAAACCTTACTTTATCCCCTAATCTATGGCCCAAGTGTGTTTCTGGAAACAACTTGCTGACTCGTTTTCTCAGATCAGATTCCACTGTATCAGTTAACGTAGTTTAAAATGTATATATTATAAATATCTGTAGCCAAATCATTTGAAGGCTTGGTAAATTTTTAACAAAGTTTGTGCATTCTTAGTGAAAGTGACCAGTAATGCTTATTTTTAATCCCTGTGCCAAATTTTGGAGTTGAGAGGGTTGTTGGTAATAAATGTATGATGTACCAAAAAAAAAAAAAAAATCCCTGGCTCCTAGAGATTCTTCCCAGCCATGCTCCCTGGCTGACACATCCCCTCTAAAGGCAGTTGGGTAGCCTTCAAATCCAGATGCCTACAGAGGCTAATAGGCTCTTTGTGGACCATGGGGGTGTGCTGAGTGACTTGGGCCCAGAGCATTCAAATTCAGATTTTGTAAACACTGGGTGCACTCATAAAACACAGCTCCAGGTAAAGCTCAGCTGCAGGCAGCTAATCTGTGGCCTTTGGTCACACGTGTGGCTTTTTCCCCCAGTTACATAGTCAATTCTTTAAGCAGGAGGGGTTCTTAATCTTATCTGGGTCCCAGACACTTTTTGAAAGTCTGGCAAAAACTATGGCTCCTATTCCCAGGAAACTGTATCTTTGCAGAAGCAAACACAGGCCTTAGGGCCTGTCCATGGGTGGGGAGGTTAAAGACCTGCCGTGAAAGGTGGACAGGACACCACTTCCTCCATCCTGGGGCCAGACCATCTCCTTACACCTGAACATGCTCTGCTCGTTATTTGGGAGGTCGGGCTTTTCTCCTGGGTGCTTTAGACACCCCTTCACCGGATAAGCCTTGCACCTATGTATAGCGCTTAAGGATCAGAGGTGTCTACAGATCCTCACATCTGCTCACCAGGAGGAGGAGGGTGTCCTACCCGGCCAGGTTTTCGATTCAGATGTTTAGGCTGATTAGAAATACTTTCAGAACTGAATATAAATAACAGCAAATGGTACCAATGATGCCAAACTGGGAAGATAATCCAGGTAAGCTGTAAAACTGGGCTGGATTTTTTTAAAGAGCTAAAGTGCATTCCTTGGCTTGTGGCAGCATGAGTTCTTGATAGCTGCCCACCTCTGTCTTCACATGGCTACCTTCTCTGTACCCTCGCCCTTCCCTCCAAAGATCCCAGCCTTCGGATTCAGAGCCCACTCTAGAGCCAGCGTGATATCACCTCATTTTAGTTAGTTAACTGAGATCCTTGATTATACCTGCAAATGCCCTATTGCCAAATAAGTCCACATTCAGAGGTTCTGGGTGGATGTAAATTTGGGGGGATCACTATTCCATTTGCTCTACCACAAAAAAAGGGAGAGTCTGCAGGAAGGTACACATGACAGGTGGCCTCATCGTAATGTATATGTAAGGGGCTAAAAGAACAATGTCATTTCTCCCAGGGAGTATTTCAAATCCTAGCGCCCCTGGTCTGCCATGGTCATGGTCACCAGTATGAACCACTGGCAGCCTGAATTGCTTTTCCTGCACGACATGGAATGTAGCAAACATGAAAACCATGATACCACCAGGTTGCCAAGTGGAGAGGGGGCGCGTGGTGATTTTTTTTCCAGCTCTGATTTTTGCACTTGGGAAATTAAAGTGTACAGTGCAACTCTGACCTGATTTCTATCTTCTTTCCGTTAGGTGGCATAAGTGGGAATAAACTCAAGCTGCTGCTTCAGAAGCGGGAAGGTAAGCAAACCCCACATGGATAAGGGCGACATTCTTAATGGATCCCAGTGAGAGGCCATGTTGAGTGTGCTCACTGGGGTCTTGTATTTGGAAAATCGGGGGTGTTTACTCCTTGAAAGGTTGGCAGATCTGAAGAGCTTCGTCTGTGGGTATGTGTATGGTATTTTATTAGGTAAATATTATTGCCAGTAAGTGTTTGAAGATTGTTTTCCTGAAAGCTGTCGGTGTGGACTCCAAAATAAAAGAAACAGTGCTACTGTGTTAATCGAATGTTCTGTGTTAGAACCATGATGCCCTTTATCTGAATTTAGAGCATATCCTCTAGAGAACATCGAACCTCCATCAGTGAGGTAGACTCGGATTAGCACTATTTGGTGTTCTGTGTCTAATTAGCCCTCTGGGGCAGGGTGGCACAGAAAAAACTGTTTTGTTACCAACACCTGTTGTGAAAAAATACTCCTATGATGAATGTGGTGGCAGCGGCAAGATGTTTAAAGCAGAGCAGGCTGGGAGCCAGGCACTCTGAGTCCTGGGCTCACCAGAATCAGGTAGATCAGTTGGACCGATTGTGAGGTCTTGTGAAGGCCATCTCCCCTCGGAACTGTCACCTTTTCCTGTAAAATAAAGAAGTTGTCTAGCTCTTGAAAATCAGGAGTGGAACCACATTTCTCGTGTGAGCCTTTGATCCCGTGTTTGTCCCTCCTCGGCCCCACCCTACCACCCCCACGCAGTTAAGAGCGGTTCTGGCAGGTGGGAGTCTGCTCCCTGACCACGGGGGCTCCCTCATGCTAGTCACATGCTCTGCAGCCCCCTCCAGAGATTCCTCAGGTGCCAAGCACTTGGGGCCCCTCATAGGGCCAGAGGGCTCCTGAGGGAGCTCCCAGCATCTTCCTTAGCATTTCCAACCGCTCCCCAGGCCCTGGCCAATCCCTGATCTACGTGCCAGGCAGCACACTCCTCCAGGACACCTGGGGTGATGGAAGCTCTGGAAGGGCCAGCCTGTCAGAGGTGGGAGAGCACAGACCACCAAGACACTCCTGAGTCCTGATGCACATCCTTAGCTTTTTTTCAATTCAAGCCTAGAAACACATATTGAGCACCCACTATGTGCAAAGAGTTGTAGCAAACCCTGAACTGAACGGGAAGTGAGGAAACAAATCCACTGCTGCTCTATCCATGTGACCAAGGGACTCATAGAGCTTCTCTCCCAATGTCCATGCAGCCTTCGTAACAACACCAAGATGGGGACTGTCAATCCAGTTTGCTAGATGAGGGGGTGGAGAGCAGGGATAAGCCAAGCGGCACAGCTCCTTCTCCTGAGCACTTCCTGCAGAAGTGGTGACTTTTAAACAGTTGCGACCGCAGTGGGAAGATGCTGGGAGAAGCCGTGTATACCAGTACCCTCCAAGACTCAGTCAAATCGTCGATGATCTGTGAGGCCCACACATGGTAGCCCAAGGTGGGCCTGTCCCAGCTCCCCAGCCTGAGAGCTCACCAGCCCACCAGTTTGGGCTGGGGCCCAGAGCTATTGTTTTCATTCTCTTTTCTTCCTGGTCTCCTGAGCAAGTACGACATCTTCATGCTCACACATATAAGGAGTATCCACTTGTGTGGCCATACAACTGGATAGTTGTTTCCTAAACACCTAAGGGGTAAACCGCCAGCCCCTGCCTGAGACCTGGGGTCTAGGCCTGGTGAGTAGCTGCAGAGGATGGGCTAAAATTTTGCCTCTCCCTCGTACCTTTGAAGTTGGGGGCTGGCCTGTGCCCCTTTATAGGGCTGCACCCAAATGGAGAACTTACTGCCAAGGGGCATGGAGTCCAGTGACAGGCAGCTGTATTTTATCCCATGTGATGTAAGAATGAACTTCAGAATCAAAGCCATCTCTTGCAGGGTGGGCTTGGGGTCTGGGATAGATCTTAGTGACTCACCCCATAAGAAAAGAAATCATTCCTTCTACCTTGGGGGTTGGGGAATTGATCATTTCAGCACCTGCTCCAGCTAAGACTAACGTGGCAGTGGGCGAGAGCAAGGCCAAAGAATTCTTGAGCGGCCTGAAGCGCCAGAAGCGACAGCTGTGGGACCGGACTCGGCCAGAGGTCCAGCAGTGGTATCAGCAGTTCCTCTATATGGGTTTCGACGAAGCGGTGGGTATTCCCGCCTCCTGGAGGCCTGGCTCCCTTCAGGGCAGTGTGGTGGGGACAGCAGCTTAGTGGGGAAACAGGGCACAGAAAATTAGCCTTCGTAACACACTCCAAAGCATGAGCCCCCATTGTATGCCAGGTGCTACCCAGGCACCGGATAACATTTCCATCAGGATATAGGGATATCAGCTGGAATTTTTCATCACACCACAAACAAATGGGAATCTCTTCCAACACGATTGGGAAGCGGGATTCCAGAAAAGTCATCGTCCAAAATGGCAGGGACTTAAATTCATCCCAGAATCCGATGTAATGTATCTGCATAGTTTTGCCTGGGTGTCTTTAAAATAACTCATAACTTCCCCCCCAAAAAAATGTGCAGCCTTACCTCCCCTATGTGTCAGAAACAACAAGATCGATGCAAAGACCCCTGTGGACAATGGGAAGAGATGAAAAGTGACTTTTTAACAGAGATGGGTCTTTGCAGATGTTTTCGGGAAAATCTGGCAATGCATTTGCAGGGAAAGTTGTTCTGTTCATGGATCCAGGCAGGGAGGTGAATGGATGTCTTCGCCAAGTCAAGGAAAAAGAGTGTTTACAGTGACAGACTCCCAGCGGGGAGGTACAGGTGAGGCAGCAGCAGAGCAAGCTGGCACAGAAGCCAGTGTACAGAGTGCCCGGCAGGGCGGCGCTAGCGGAGCGCTCTCCTGGAGGCTCGGCGGCCTGGAGAACACTCAGCCCACCACCCCATGCCCCAGGGGGGTGGGGGCAGATGAGGGGCAGCATCTCCCAGCAGGGACAGCTGGAAATGCTTTTCTAAATGGCCCAAGATTCATACTGTGCATCAAGGATGTATAAGACGTTTCAATAGATGGAAAAAAAATTAAACTCTTTAGAAGCCTCATTTTTAATGGCTGCATAAAGTGCAGTCATGTAACTGGATTATAATTTCCTTCCCATTCCCAACCATTGGGTATATTGGCTATTCCCTAATTATCTTCCTGTGCAAAAAGCTAAACACCTACATCTAGACTCCGTGCCAGGCAGGAATCATCTAAGCACTTGTATGAATTCACTTATGGTCATAACCACCCAGAAGGCAGGTGCTATGACTCGCATATTCGTGTGTAGTTTGTTTCATACTTGGTGTTGTGTTCTTCCCAGTGGAGTTGTTGAGGCAAAAGGCAGAATCACTCGCAGGTCTTTAGGCTTGTCAGATTGCACATTCCCAGCAGTCACGTGTGAGAGCACCAGTCTTCTGGCATCTTCGGCACCACCTTGAATTCTCATTGAAAATTAAAAAAAATAAAAAATAAGTACTTGCTTGAACATGAAAATGGTATGTCATTTGTAGTAATTTGTATTTCTTTGATGCAGTCCTTGAAAATGGGCATTAAAAGTGTAGCATGGAAATGGCTAAAATAATGACTGGTGACAAGGTGAGAATAAGGTGAGGATTATAACTAAATATTCACAGAAGAGACTAGAAGGAAATACGCCAAAGTGTCAGTTGTGGTTGTCTTTGGCAATGGAGTTACGATCCCCCCCTCGACTCTGTCACACTCCCACGTATCGATTTATAAAATATAAGTCTGTGTTATTTCTGTGCCCATAGAACAATTTTTTAACTTCTTGAAACCCTTGACATTTCAAGGTCTGAGTTTTGCCAAAACTTCAAACAAGATTATAAAATGCCAAGAACCAAGGAGCAAGATGATTTGCTGCAATGTTGTGAGGAAAGCAAACATTCTCACTTTCCTGGCTGAGGCAGAAGGAGGGCTGAGCAGAGGCCAGAGCCCCTGGGGTTCAGCAAACAGAGGAGGGGCAGACTGTGCTCACCAGTGTGGCACAGGCTGACCCAGGGTTCACCTGAAGTGGGTGGCCACAGAGAACAGCATCGTGGGCGCGGCCAGGCCTTCTGGCCTCAGGGAGTGCCCAAATACTCATGGTACCCGGCAGTCTTATTAAATACATTCCTGAGACCCAACCACCGGAAAATTCCATCCAGGCAGTGTGGACGGGTGCCTGAGAACGTGCACTTCATAGCATCCAAGAGATTTGGATGCAGGGGTGCACTGGGCGCACTTTGAGAAAAATTGGACCCAAACTTGTAGGTACCCTGCAAGCTCCCTAGGTCATCCTTCTCTTGTCCCCACCTTTTCGGCCTCATGCCAAACCTCGAACCAAGTCGTCGGCAGAGTCGTGTGCAAGTGCCCATCTACGTTCATCCTGTGCCTTCACTACCGACAAAGAATTAGTCTTTCTTTTAAGAGAGGCACAGACGGCAAAGACCTGTTACCCCGGCTGTAAAGCTGAAAATCCTTCTTTGCTTCTCACTCGATTCAATTCTCCCCCTTCCCTTTTATCCCTGCTCACTGCCACTGTCTCTTTTCATGTGACTCTCAGCAGCTGTCAGCTTCATGAAGGCAGGGACTGTGTCCTACTTCGGGTGGCCCTTCAGTGCCAAGCACAGAGCTGACGGGCTGGGCCCATTTAATCAGTGTTTGTGGAATGAAGAAGTGCAGCCATGCACGCTCGAACAACACCATGGGTATAAAAGGTCATCGTTGCAAGGTCGTGCGGCTGAAACGTGCCAGGACAGTGGCTGATTTAACTTATGGAGCATCTACACCATGCACTTGAGGGGCCAGGCGACAGGACGGGGAGGGGAGAGAAGGCAATGTCTGCAAGATGTGTGCAAGAAGAGGTGTACCGTGCCCAGGGGGCAGGCCAAGTTATTGCGATCTTTGGGAGATGTCCATTTTATTTCCCCAAAAAAGAGAAAAATATCAAAGTGTTGGGTACATTAAGAACTCAAAGGGCAAATGTTTACAGGGGCTCGGATGGGCCCTGCCCTGAGGGCAACAGCTTTTACCAGCTCTCTTCAGCTGTCTGCTGACCTCCAAGCTATCAAGCCAAGTGGTTCTTGGTAAGAGTTGTTCATGGTTGAAGAAAAGCCGTCACAGAGAAAAGTGAGAGATGAGATGTGGTCTGGGGGCGGGGGGTGCATGTCCTTAAATCTGTTCTCTGCTTTTCAATTTTTCTCCAGAAATTTGAAGATGACATCACTTACTGGCTGAACAGAGATCGGAATGGGCACGACTATGATTACTACCAGCGTCACTATGACGAGGACGCCGCCATCGGTCCCCAGAGCCCCTACAGCTTCAGGCACGGAGCCAGCGTCAACTACGATGACTACTGACCACCCCTCGGCCCTCGGCGCCCCAGCCGCGGAGGTGACCCACTGGGCTGCCTTGCACCACGTGGCTTCCGCTGGGCTTTACTCCAGCAGATCTTTCCTACCCCCTTTCTGCAGCCAGGAAGGAAGAGTTAAACAATATAAATGCCTTTGATATTTCATGCAAGTGCCTAACATCGCATTTCATTAAAAAATAGAAATAAAAGCAGTTTGTTAAAAACAGAAGTCTCAGAATTCAGTCGGTTGGGAAGCAGGCTGGCCACAGTTTTCATTCCCTGGATTTTGTCAGAGTCGGAGCCTCATCCAAGAGGCAGCTCTCTGCTACCCCTACCCTGCCGGGATCCCCGCCACTGCCCGCCCCCCCCCCCCCCCGCGCCGGGGCAGGCCATGGCACTGAGCAGGGGTCTTCGGTTGGTTAAAATTCTGCCCCTGCTAAACGCAAGGTAGGAAGCCAGCGAGAGAATCTGGTCAGAAGTTATTTAAGGTCACAGAACACGGCTTGGAGTATTCTAATCATCCCACAGGTGTTGGAGCCCTTGCTGGGCCCCAGGCCCTGAGCTCGCGCTGGGCCTGTTTAAGTCGATCATGCAGGAAATGAAGGGTAATAAGGAAAAAGCTGAAGCTTGGGTGAATTCAAGGCCTCACTTCTCTTAAAAGAATTAAAGCTTCGCCAATGAATTCAAGAAATATTTAAGAACACACTTTACGTAGTCTTTAAACAACCTGAGTGGATGAAAGAGAAAAGTGGGGTGGGTGTGAGGAGAGGGAGGGAGGAAGGAAGGGTGGGGGGCAGAGGGGGTTAAGAGGAGGTCATGAGGCATTGCTGATGGAGGGAGTCAGGTCACAGCCTGTGCGATGCCCACAGAGCTGTGGCGGAGGTTGGGGAGCACTCAAAATGGTCTTACACTCTTGTGGGTCACAGACCCCTCTGACAGTCTGATGGAAACTTTTTGTTCTTTCTCAGAAAAATGGTGATTTTGTTTATAGTCCCTGAAATACATCTCCATTCACAAATCATGAGTAATTAAAAAAAAAAAGAGCCGGCTTAGTAGGAAGTAGTGGCTTCAGGAGAGTGATGTTTATGGACACTCGTAACATCTGCCTCTAAAGGTAATTTTGTTTCTTCCTTTAGAATCCTTACAACTTTTAAGAATTTTCACAAAGTATTCATACCATACAATTTACCATTTTTAGGTGTAGTGTAGTTCAGTGGCATTGAGTGCTTTCACATTACTGTGCCCATCACCACCATCCATTTCCAGAACTTTTTCATCTTCCCTAACTGAAAATCTAGCCCCGACAGCCCTTCCTCCCAGCTCCTGGCAGCCACCTCCACTGTCAGTCTCTATGAGCAGGACTACGCTGGTACCTCATTTAAGTGGAACCATACAGTACTTTTTTGTGTCTGGCTTATTTCACTTAGTGTAATGTCCTCAAGATTCAACAATGTTGTAGTTCGTGTCAGAATTTCTCTCCTTTGGGGACGCCTGGTGGCTTGGTGGTTGAGCATTTGCCTTCAGCTCAGGGTGTGATCCCGGGATCCTGGGATCAAATCCTGCATCAGGCTCCCTGCAGGGAACCTGCTTCTTCCTCTGCCTGTGTCTCTGCCTGTTTCTCTCTGTGCCTCTCATGATAAATAAATAAAATCTTTAAAAAAATTTCCCTCCTTTGAAGGATGAATAATATTCCAATGGGCGTTTGTATGGCATGTTATTTATCCATTCATCTGTCAATGGACACTTGGGTTACTTCTCCCCTTTTTTTTCTCCTGTGCATAATGCTATGAACATGGGTGTGCACCTACCTCTTCATGTCCCTGCTTTCAATTCTTTTGGGTAGGTGTCCAGAAGTAGAATTACTGGATATGGCAATTGTTTAATTCTTTTGAGGAACTGCCATCCATGTGTTTCACAGTGGCTGTCCGATTTTACATTCTCACCCTTTATTTTTATTTTTTTAAGATTTTATTTATTTAAGAGAGAGAGAGAGAGAGAGAGAGAGAGAGAGAGAAGAGAGAGAATGAGAGAATGAGAGAGGCCGAGGGAGAAACAGGCTCCACACAGGGAGCCCGACATGGGATTTGATCCTGGGTCTCCAGGATCAGGCCCTGGGCTGAAGGTGGCGCTAAAGCGCTGAGCCACCGGGCTGCCCCACATTCTCACCCTTTAAATGTGTTTCTTTTTCTTGCCTACTATTGGGCTAGCTCAAGCCCCAGCAAAATTAAAGAGGAGGGAGGGAGAGGTGATGGAGAGGGCATCTTAGTTTTGTTCTCGATCTTGCTGTGTTCCTCCATACAGTATGTTTGCTGGATGATTTTTGTTGATGTCTTTTGTCAAATTAAGGAAATTTTTCAAGTTAAGGAAATGGATTTTTCTATTTATCCTGCTGGCTTAAAAAATATGCTAAGAAATGTTTTAGATGTCATGTATGGATGTCAGATTCTGTTTTCCTTATCTGTTGAGATGATACCACATTTCTTTGTTAATCTATTAACAAAATTCTAATATTTATTAATTGAATCCCTGGAGTGAAACATAACCTGATCATGATTGCTTTTACTTATCTGGTTGGATGTGTTCAGAATTCCTGTACACATGCTCATGAGAGGGTTGGCTTTCGTGTTTTTTTCTGGTTGTTTTTATCCATTTAGATATCACGGTTATTCTGGCCTCTTAAAATGAGAGGTTTTCTTTTCTATTCGGTGTAGGAATGGAATGCTCTGTTCCCTGTTTGGTAGCATTCGGATAAAGCCGTTTGAATGCAGTGTTTTCTTTGTGGTAATAGTTTCCTATCAACTGCATTTCTTTTATAGGTAAAGAATTATTCTGATTTTGTGTTTCTTCCTGATCTGTTTTGCTAAATTCTATCTTTCTAGGTAGTCATTCATTCTATCAAAATTTAAAGTATAGGGCAACTGAATTGCTCAGTCAGTTAAGCCTCTGCCTTGGCTCAGGTCATGATCTTAGGGTCCTGGGATCGAGCCCCGTGTTGAGCTCCCTGCTCGGTGGGGAGCCTTCTTCTCCCTCTCCTGCTCCCCTCTCCCCTACTTCTGCTCTCTATCAAATAAATAAATAAAATCTTTTTAAAAAATTTCTAAAGTGTTGTTCTTGATATCCTCTTACATGTTTTCACTGTAGCATCTGTGGTTTTATTTTTTTTTCCCATTCCATTCCACTCAGGTCTTTAAAAAAAAGTGAATCATCTTTTCAAACTTGAAGATTTTGCTTTGTTGATCTGTTCTTTTGTATGTTTCTCTGTTTCATGAATTTCTGTTCTCTTAATTTCCTTCCTTTTACGTCTGTGGGTCTTTGATTTATATTAGATCTTAGCTTTATTTTGAGCCTTCTTATTTTTTGAAGGCTTTTAATATTGTTTCCTTCCAAGAACTGTATCCTATGAGTTTGAGGCGAAAAGTTAAGATGATGAAATCATCGCATTTCAATTATATTTTCTCCTCTGACCCTTAAGTTTATTACACGTGTTATTAAATTTCCAAGTGAATGGGTTTTTTAAATTATTGTGTTGGCTTTGTTTTCAAACTTAATTGCATTGTGGTAAAAACATTTTTTTAATAAAGATTTTTTAAAAACCCAACTAGAGTCAGATCCTGGTCCTTTGAACTATACTGAGGTCAGCTTTATGTACCTGTGTGTCGGCCCCAGCAAGTGTTCCATGTGTGCTCAAAAGGACTGTGTCTTTTCCAGACATCAGATGCAGTCAAGTCCATTAGTTCAAGCTTGATTTTTCTATTTTCTTTCTGTTTCTTTTGTTTGATCTACTAATTACTGCCAAATGTGTTAAAATCTACTATGATGATGGAATTTTGACAAGTTTCTCCTTTAATTCTCTCAGTCTGGTGTCATTCGAGGCTATACACAAATTTACAGGGTATACACAAATTTAAAATCAATGCATCTTCCTGGTCAGAGGAATCATTGATCATTATGTAGCAAATTTATTATTACCAGTAATGCATTTTGCCTGAATTCTCCTTTGATATCAATATAACTATATTTGCCTGGTATATCTAACTGCCTGGTGTATCTTTTCCATAGTTTAGCCTTTTTTCTGTGTTCTTTATGTGTGTCTTTTGTAAAGAGTACATAGCAGAAATTTATTTTGTGTTTAAAATATGGCATAACTATTAAGATCTTAATGGGAGAATTTAGCCCACTTAAACTAATTGTGATTAACAATTTCATTTTATTTCTAACATCACATTTTGAACTCTTTGGAAAGATATTTATTTATTTATTTATTTATTTATTTACTTATTTATTTATAGCACAAGGTGGGGGGAGAGGCAAAGGGAGAGGAAGAGAGAGGATCTTAAGCAGACTCTGTGCTGAATGCAAAGCCTAACCTGGGGCTCGACCTCACAACCCTGAGATCCTGCTCCAAGAGATAGAGGCTTAACTGACTGAACCACCCAGGTGCTTCATATTTTGAACTTTTGACTCATTCCGTTTCACCTATTCTGTTCCCCCTGTTCTTCTTTTCTTACCTTCCTTTGGACTGCTTGGTTTTCTTTGGTTTATTCTTCTCCCTTAACTTCTTTTGAAGGCATACACTGGGTCTATTCTATTATCGTTTGCTCTATTTAATGCCTATTTGACAACACGACAGGCACTCAGTAGTCATGGCCTTCTTCTGGACAGCACAAGGACCTTGGAAACCTTATTCTTCAGTCTCCTTTCTCAACTTCTGAGCAGTTGGAACTTGGCATTTTAAGTCTAGCCTGATTTATTCTCCCAACAGTTTATCTTTGTTTCATATATAGTCATTAGTTTGTTTAGATATCACATAGCTACCTTGGTTCACTATTTCTCCTTGCAGCTCAGACGGCACACCTGCAGTCATTTTCCTTTGGATGGAATTACATCCTTCAGAATCCATTTACTGAGGGTCATTTGGTGGGAAACTGTCCAGTTCGGCACTTTCCCTTGTTTCACTTTGTACAGAATTTTTGGTTGTTTACTCAGCACTTTGAGGATGATTCTGTCTTATGGTTTCCACTGTTGACATTAAGAATTTTGCTATTCATCTATCACTTCTCTGTGCGTGACACTGTCCCTCCAACAGTCTTTTGTAACCTACTTGTCTGCTATCTCCTACAGCTAAGTATATATATATATATATATATATATGCTATAAATAAATA